ATGAGTTGAAGAAAATTGCTTCAGACAAGGGCTTCAGAATTATTGACAATGAAGGATCAGGAAATTGCATGTTCTATGCTTTGTCAGATCAAATGGAACTTGCTTTGAGAATCAAAATCAAGCATGACGAATTAAGACAAACGTTGGTCCAGTACCTCAGAAAAAACCCTAAACTAGTAAGTTGATGTCTTACACTCTGTGTTAAACACTGTTACTTTAGGAGCACCATAAAGGTTAGATCCACATGTGGGCCAACTGGCCAACACGTCACTACTCCTCCTGTAGGGGATAATAAGGATCATAAATACCCTGAAATCAGCGTTTAGTATAAACCACAGCGCGCGTTCATTGGTAAGTGATTGGCAAGTACCATTCACCGTCTTCTGGTATATGCGTAAATAATCTTCTACCTCAGTGTCCTTGAAACTGGTGGATAATTACCTCGCCTTTTTGCCTCGGTAGATACCCGCCCCTATTCGCCTTTGTTTCGGAGAATAATTGTTTAATATTTCTGGATTGCTCTTAAAACCACGCGGTGTTGTTCAAGTGTTTTAGTATAGACCATGTCCGAGTCACGGATGAATTCAGACCTCCTTGTAAAAATTAAAGAGCTCTGTCTTGTAGAGAAAGCAGCCAATCCAAGGTTTTTTTAAAATACATCGCCGGCTTGAATCTCCCCCAGACGGGACAATTCTAATTGTATGACCTTGCCTCTGGATAAGGTGGACACTAGATATTCCATGTCTCAGAAGGGCAACTTCAGGAGTTGAGATTGCTACATTGAATGTAGATCCTCGTGTTCATTACTCTGATTGCTTATCATCCGTTCTCACTGTGGTTTAGTATCTCTTTGTTATTTTCTCATTCGATGACTCCTTCCAACGTATTCAACCTTATCCAGTGTACCATTAACTTTATACTCTAAGTTTCGTTCTCTATTTTACCCTTCTCACAGCCGAATGGAACAACTCTGTTTCACTTCGTCCATGGTCATCAATCATGGGCTGATTACTTAACGTACGTGGAGCAAGATGGCGCTTGGGGTGACCATGTTATTCTATGTGCCACAGCAAACTGCTACAAAACTTGCATTCGTGTGGTCAGCAGTCTTAACGCTTCTCACGATGTTATCTTACGACCACAATGTCCTGTTGACAAAAGCAGGACACTTGTGTTGGGACACATCCATGAAGTACACTATGTTAGCCTTCACTCGACACAAGGTACAATTATTTACATTACACCCAGTAAATGAAGTGTGAGTTTATAATGATATTTTGTGTAATTATCTACATCACCTAGGAGGGAGGGGGTGGCTCTATCTTTCTTTGGTAAAAGCCGCCGTCAAATGATCACTGCTAATATGACCTCACATAGCAACACTGGACGCGCTTCGCTAAGTTTGCTCAGTAGAGATTGAGGACAATAATAAGAGCTAACAAAGAAAATGCCATTACAGGCTCCTAGTGGGTTACTATTGATTAATTTTCCGTGAGCGTACAAGCTTTGTCATTTATATTGTGAATTTAACAATGTACTGTCTTGTGAAAATGTTTGTTTGCAATTTCACCAAAAACAATTCGGGACGAGTGCGGCTGACCGCCATATTTACTTCCGCGGGGGTCAAAACAAGCCAAAACGTACACCGTTTTTTCTCTACGCTTTGAACAAATCGGCCTCATAAAAGGAGGTTTTATTCCTTATTTATGTAAGTTTATATCTATTGCGATTTGGGGTGAAGCTAATGAGTCACTTTTCTCCTCAATCCTTTTAAGTTCGAAGTTGTCCTTGTATCTAATAGTGGTGAGCCACGCATTACATAGTTACTTATCTTGTCTGCTAGTGTTGTAAAGAACTTGGTAAGGGCCAAAGATTCTAGTTAGGTAGCTTGCTGGCTTCTGCTCATCTTTTTTGCTTGTGGTCCTTTATTTTAAAACGTTCACGCTACTTCTGTGTTTAATTTTTCGGGCTTGTACTGAAAATTTCTGTTATGACCATAGTGTTAACTTGGTTGTTAATCCTTTAAGAGAAAATGTGGCCAAAAATCGAACAGTTTCGAAATGTAGCAACAGCCAAAAAATCGATTCGGCTCACTTTTTCAAATTAGGTGGGCCTTACAATGAAACAAGCTACTGCATACTTCGTTTGGCTATATATCGATCTATTTTCGAGAAAATCGATAATAACTGAATTCCGCCAAAATTCCAGACCAACCCGAGCCTTGGAGAGTCGCCCCACTAATTGGAAACACTTAGACCGATAAAAAGTACCAAATCTTGAAAAACAACATTCAAATTTAGGTTCTTGATTGTTTTTATACACAATATAATTGACTTCATCCGACCTTCTTCGAACTATATTAAAAATTGGTCAAAAGTAACCCGTTATTTAACGATGTGCTAAACAGAGTACTCGACTGAAAAACTGGCTTTTGGAAGGCAAAGTGTAGTTCTTTCAAGCAATCATTATCAGAAGGCGTTGACTATCCTTCCAAGTTATATCGCTACTTTGAGAGCGGCCGATGCAACATTTTCAGGACTGCAATCCTCCATTGTGATACATTAACATGGAGGGTAAGTAGATGTTCTGTTGAAAAAGCTGTAGTTTCGATGTAAAATGCGAAACAATCATGTTTGCGTATGGATGTGTTCATTTTCTCCTAACTGACGACATCGTCAAAACACCGCATTCCATCAACTTAAAAATGATTAAATTGCGCTGAATCATATCCCCAAAAAGTTCTTCGGAGATCGAATAGAACTACACCTCGCCTTTCAGAAGCCAGATTTTCAGTAGATTTATTTTGTTTAGATAAATAACGGGTTACTTTTGTCCTATTTTTGATCTAGGTTAGCTAGAAGATGGTCGGATTAATTCAATTAGATTGTGTAAATAAACAATCGAGAGTTGCTCAAATTGCTGTCTAGCTATTTTTTGATGTTGTTTTTCAAGATTCAGTACTTTTTCATTGGTCCAAGTGTTTTCAATTCGTGACGCGACGCTCCAAGATTCGTCTGAGATTCTGACCTTCAAAAGCGGCATTTTGGCGGAACTTAGTTATTATGATTTTCTCAAAAATAAATCGATATTCAGCAAGACGAATTATGCAGTAAATTTTTTCCCACAGAGACCTACCTAACTTTGAAATATTGGCGAAATTGATTTTTCAGCTGTTGCCACTAAATGTGTGACCATTGGTAACATTCACACTTTAGGCCCATTAAGGGAATGGGAACCATTAATTTCTTTGCCTTCTAAACATTTTTTTTTTCGCTAACGGAGAAATTGTTGCTTAGTTCATCGCAATTTTGATATACAGTCAATAGCAGGAATAACAAAGATTAAATTTCCCTCCTTAAGTGTTTAAAATGAACAAGCTTTGTCTGTGCTTGTTCTGAATTCTAGCTGATAGGTTGTTTTGTAAGCTCGTGACCCGATCTTCTCACGGGAAATGTAATTTCTCCTCAGTGCTTTTGTTTTTTTTAAGAAATGCCTGTGCAATTTAGCGACACATTGTTGTTTCGTTTATCACCGTCTTAAATGGGCCGCAATAAAAGATCTGAGACAGCCCAGCATTGACCAACTGGTCATGGTATTCACTTAAATGCTACAAAGACCGCTACTGATTGTCTTAAAACTGAAACTAGACCAAAAACCTATGAAGAATGGATGGGCAAAGCTAAAAAGAAGGTAACAGATTTTCGTATTTTCTTGATTAAAAAGCCGAGGTGGAACTGTTTACTTAGAAGTGAACGCCAAAAGCGTATCATCGAGGCATAAATCGAGGTTTTGTTTCGGTGAGAAAGTGAAAAATCGTGCCGTATCAACCGACTACCCCTTGGAGAAGAAAAAAATCGTCTTCAAATGACATAAAACGAAGTCCCGTTGGTAGCCATCGGCCTCATTTATACCCGGTAAAGTTTAAAATAAATGCTGCTAATGTCTGATGAAGAAACTACGTTACAACAGTGTTAACTTAATTCTGCCACCGATGTTCCATTAAAGCCTGTTGCCCATTTGTTCGTGTTT